CCATCCATCTTCCATGGGTTTCCGTTTCCTGGTTATTTCTCAGCAGAACATTTGAATACTATTTGACTACTGCTTTAAACAGTCCGCGACGAAAGGGAGCGTAACCTAACAGACCTATCATGGTGTAGCTGTGAAGAGATGTAAGGTCGACCCGGTTCATCCAAATGGATCCTAAATAGACATCTTCGAAAAGGATGAATTATTCAAGTTCTTCTAAAAAAGAAAGGCTCCCCATCAAGCCTCTCGGTTCTGAGAGCCATAAAAGGCTTCGAGGTAGCAAACATAACGGAGAAGTACTGTAGGTCACAGGAAAAAGTGTAAAGCGCATAGGCCATTTGCGTCAGAGAACGCAAAACGGACAAAATCGGCTTAAAGAGACCAAGACCTTTATAAAAAGTACGCAAGAAGTGAAGGCGCTTTAAAACTTATCGGGTAACACGGAATTAGGACTTGAAAAGTTAAGATAAAAGAAGGATATAACATTGTTGAATATAAACGAGAAAAAAGGGCCGATAGTCATAAACAAAAGGGATTCTGGGAAAATGTAACGAGTAATGGAGTAACGAGTGCACAAACCAAAGGCACAACAGGCCATAGAAGAAGAGAACTGGTAAATTGAAAGAGCCCAGGAAGCAAGTAGGAAGTCAAATAGAAATCATTGCTGGGTAAAAAAACATTATACAGGATAGATCACCGAAAAAAAGGTGCGAAGAAGGTTTGTATATGTTAAAAAAATGGCGACGAGACGAAAGTATTGAATTAAATGAATCTGATGAATGAAGCTGTCAAGAGAGTACACACAATAGATCAGAGATCCTTCTGGTACTAACAAATAAGGGGATCCGCTGGAAGATCCCAAGCAGTAAGAGAAAAGCCTGGATATACTGCAAAACCTTCGAGACTCTAAAGATATCAGAGAAGAGAAGAAACCACTGAAGTAAGATCGTTACGTGAAAACTTTAGGGCAGCATAGGTCGTGAAAAACAGCATCATAAGAAACAGAGCGATTAGAGTAGTGCTGATACAGAACGAAAATTCAAGATTTTGCCTGATCAGATTCTAACCCAGCTCTTTTCAGCAGGCGTAAAACTAGGAAGAATTTAGATTAGCGAATCGCCACGTTGGAGGTATTGGGGAACATGTAGGTGGGTGACACAGTAACGAATCTACAAATCTCAATCCAGATGAGATGAGCAACGTGTTAGCGTGGGAAAAATAGGATACGAAGAGGACACAGCGGCAACTATCACGGCAGATGAAATCGGGAGGAAACTCATCTTTAAAAGGTGAAGAAAAGTGGCTCTACTTATTAGAGCATAATTGGATGCTGACAAAATAAAGAAGTAGAATACTACCTACAAAGAACTGTTCTTTAAAACTTAGCATTAAAAGATCGGCCATCGCGGCAGAAAGAAAAAGTCGAGTAATCTAAAGAATATCGGAAGGCATTGTGATCAAGATTACCGCGGAAGAAGCAAGACGAAGGAGCTAAAATACTACAACAGAAGCTAGATTCAATAAAGGCATCGAGCGAGGAAGGCAAACCTGCATTATAGGTTATATATAGAAATGCCATATTCGAAAGCAACGAGGTAGCTTAAAGAGTTAGAAATTGAAATGTAGCCTTATAAACAGCGATCATGCCCATGTAGTCTATAAGTACTGAGAAACCTCGCAAGAAAAGCAAGACGCACACACGTGCCAATCAGTATGGCACCTGACCGTAAAAAAGCTTGAGGTCGAAATTAACGTCAAATGTAGAAGCTTCTTAAAGCCGAAGAGAATATCACATCGTAGTCAATGGTAACAATACTCATAAAAGCGTGCGAACCGACCTCACGTTGGTAACAGACATATTGATATCCGAGAGAAATTGCGGACACCTAGAAAGCCTACAATAAGGGTGCGACTACAGTATACCAGGACAAGGAAAAACGGGTAGGTATGGCCAAAAAATAGTAGAGGCTAAGTCGCTACAAAAGGGGCTCTAGTGTCGACGAGGGTGTTCCTCAGCAAGCCGAACCCTGTCTGCTTTAACGACTTTTTACAAGAGGACAGAATTTCTCTAACCTCGCTAGAGGCGGTTGAAGTGTAAATAAAACGGCTGTTAAAGGGTAAAGCCCCGAATTAGATAAAATCCTAGCGAAAACGGTCAAGATTCCCACGCAAAAAAGTCTGAAATTTTCATATCGATCATGGATAGCCTTTGGAGACAAATAGATATTCCTATGCTGTATGGAACTTTCACGGAAAATAGCTACATTGATGATGTAGCAACTAAAGGGGTCATGGTTACCAAAAGCATAGTATGGACCATGCCGGGGGGCTGAGGCACAACAGAATTCAAAAAGCATTGTACAGTTACGTGTAAAATAAGCAACTACGCGACCGATATCAGAGCTTCAGAGCTACACACAAACCCCGCTTTGGGTAATTTGTTGTAGTGAGTAAAAACAAAACAAACAAGAAAGTAAAAAAAAAAAATATGCTAAGAAAACTATGAACCATTTTGAAAAACCTTGCAAAAAAGTTAGGGAACCTACATGAATAATGTCGAACATCTATGAAAGATTGTTCGGAGGCAAGAAAGCTCGAAAGATCTACATTTCTATTGAACCAGGTTAACAGATGATACCTTGGAAAGACATTTAAAAACCACTATAAGCGATGAGAGGTGACTGTATTAATATGAGCTACAAACTTCTGTGTATTGCTTCAAAAGCAATTCTAAACCGGAGAAAACCACGATACCCAGCTTAAGAACCAAGCTCCTTATTACCATCTTCTTCAACTATTAAGATGTTGTATTGTGCATTATGAATTCATGCGAAGTTGCCCTACCGTCATTAGAAGGTCTTATTTAAAAAGACTGTATAGCGCTATCCGCCAAAAAATAACATCTATGCGATTATCATAATTAGTATTGTGACACTATCGTAGAAGACACCTTCTAATAATTGCGATCTATAACAAGCCTACTTTGTGGGTCCTGTAAGCGTATATGGAGCAAAACTTTCTTAAACTAGGCTAATGCCTTACTTGTAAATAGTTTAAACAACGCTGTTAGACTTCCGCTAGAGTTTCTAACTGAAACAGCACTCATTAAATTTATACCTCTGTCCCAGATCTGAGGCCGGAGTTCAATAAGAAATGGAGTGAACTTAGAGTGGGTAACCTATCTAGCCGATTGGCACTACATGACGATGACCGTGAGTAGGACATTAGGACGTTACAGTCTGGATGCTTCTTGAAAATCTAGGAGCCCTAGGACGCGCCGCGTATTGCGACCTACTTTATCCTTTAGGGTTTCATCGACAAGTTGCCATGAGTTCGATTGTCCAAGGAAGAGGATGTGCCCAAAATATATATTTGGCTGGATGCTCTCCTGAAGCAAACAACGTTCATGGCGGCACGTTTAATAAGCTAATATTCCGCCAGTGATAAAACCCGTGTCGATCGGTTACAAATAGCCTTGTGTAGCGCTTTCTCTAATGCCACATCCAAATCTTTATAACTTCCAAATATGTTTTTAAAATGCCCGAGCTGTCTCTTAGGGACTGTACAACAGAATCTAACGCCGAGACAACGCTGTTAATCAAAAGCGAAGCTTGTGCCGTCACAGAAATTTCATTCTACGTTGAATTTGTCCGTGCCCTTCTCGCTATCTGAATATCTGTTGTTGCTATATTTGTGGAGAGTTAGATCATCTAGAAAATGTAGGAGAGCTGTAAGCGTTTATGATGTTCCAGTGCGAAATTGCTTGAGCCCATGACTTGAGTCTTTTCAAATCAGCCACGTTCCTTTTCACTTGGCATGTCGAGTAACAACAAGTCGAAGTGTATGTACGACCTTGAATCAAACCACTTCGAAAAAAGTAATAAACGAGTAAATGCAAGTAACGCTGTTCGCCCAAACTATGCGGACAAACGTTGTTGGTATGCAACATTGATATTGATCTCAATTTGTCACAGCACTTTTTTGGATGAGCATTGATCGTAGTTTGAAAACTCTTTAAAAACTAGGCGATGATGAAAGCAGATATTTCTTGTCCCGTTTGGACAGCAACGATGTTTCCTGGACAAGTAATTGAATGATCCGACCTAAGGTTTTTTTCAGTAAATATGTAAATACAGCTACGTGAAGGTATGCAAAAGGCTTGACTAAGCCTTTTGCTACAGACAACGTTTTATTAGCAGAAACCATGTATGTGAGTAATCGAATGGCCAACCGTTCCTACGCTGACTATAAAAGTAGACCCATAAGTAGAATATTTGGGTTGTTACAACAAATGTATGTGCTTTAAGTGAACCGTAACAGCGAATGCTACGCTCACAGCAATATGGAATGCATAGGAAGATTTTCAGACAGGTCGAGCTTTTGTTCATTGTTAATTGTCGTAGTTTTTTACCCTGTTAACCTGAACACGATTTCTATTGCCTGGTAGACTGTCAATGTATGTCATAAATTGAGAGAACGTTGAAATTTTCAAATTACGATGCAGCAGAACTAAGACTACAGGGTGCCAAGTATCGTATATTTCACATAAAGTAACGTTACACTAACTACGTTTGGAAGGGTATGTTATGTGACTTTTCTAAAGGCGCATTAAAAAGTTTTCTACTAGTCGGCACTATCATATATTGGCACCCTTTTGGCCTGCAGTGAGGAACGCCCTTGACTATTAAAGCGACTCATCTTGGCTGAAGTAGTTATATTGAAGAAGTGTTCTAGAGAAAAGTGTAGGTCTCATTTCGAAATGAGTCACTAAGTCCTAAGTAGCGTCCTAGGTCGCTGCATGTGCACCATCAAATTGAACTGATCAGTTTATGTTAGAAGATAATATGCTGTTAATTTTATTTAATTCTTTTCGCTTTTGCTGACCAACTAGGATGAGGGCAAAGTATCTTTTTGCGATACTTGGCAAAATACCTTTGACCTAATAGCGCGAGAATATAGCGCATAGTCTATTCGGCAGATGTGAAACACCACAAATGTTTTGTATAGATCCTTGCGTTTATTGAAAATTCCGCTGATACATTGTTCGTTTGTGCTCTAGTATGATTACGATTATAGCAGGGATAGGTTGATGCGAAAGTTGATCTCATAGTTGGATTCACGGGAACACTTTGTTAACCGGCTGTTTCTGAGACAATTATACATAAATTATCATAATTCTTATAAGGACAGTGATTTCAACATTTATCCTTTGGGATAGTCAAGATTTGGGAAAATCTGTTTTTTATTCTCCATGATATATTTGTCGTTGAATTGTGAACAATCCTGGAAAATATTGCACACTGTATAACGGTTTTCCCAGAATCCCTGTCCATAACAGAAAATATCAGGTGATCTTCACATGGAAAACGCTCATTGAAACATAAAGATAGTAACTGAGTACCCGGAGTCGATCATTTTAGGGATTAATATTTCTCTTTTATAATTGACTAAACTTTTCTTTAGGCAATGACATTCAAACGATTATAACTAAGATAATTGAACGATACTGCTTGCCGGAGGATTTTCAAGTTCTCTTTAACTAGCTATCTACAATAAATAGTTTTCACTTTATTATAATTTCAAGGAAGATTTTCGCTGAGAGTTAAGTTTATCAACTGTTGAATTCTTCTGCTGGGCGACATAGATAACATGACCGGTCGAAGACTCGCGCTATTCCTTAATTTCGTCCGCTGCTGTGACCGGCGCTGCGAACGTCGTTACATATTTGTTCCAGGTGGGCATACGGCATGCATAATTGTATTAAACGACGTAGACTGGGTCGGAGCGCTTCGCGGTGGTATGGATGCTTTCCAGGGTCCTTGACCCTGGCTTTGTGTAGGCGAATATACCTATATAATACAACATAACATATAAATTAGGGATGCAGTCTGTTTATTGGTTGGAGCTTTAAATCGAAACATGTTTTTGCATTTTCACAATAATGCTGAGTAAACATTCGAATAAATAAAGGTGTTAGAAGCAAAACATAGTGAGTATTAGCCAGTGATAGTTTCCAAATTTCGACCTGCTATCAGCCCAAAAATGAACTCCATTAGAAGCTCGTTGTGGTACCACAACGAGCTTCCAACGAAGAGAAGAACCCCAGAGAAGACCTCGCCTGGGGAAGTACATTTTGGCAATCTAATGAAAACAGCAATTGTCTCACCTAAATCTGGGAGGCGTTTCCAAGATCGTGTTTCACGATGATTTTGCAATTTACGATATTGATGGCCAGGTAACCCAGCATAGCTTGTATGGCGACCCCTACGTCATTTCTAATATCACATCTTAACTGTATCAGTACGACAAGATTATTGGACGTGCTTTTCCACTGGAACTTTGTCTACTTATGTGAAACCAATAGCGACGGTACATGCAACATCTCTGGGTGCCGTCCAACTTATTATTATTATTATTATTATCTGTAGCAAGCATTCATTAGCGACCGAAATGCAAAATTTTTGAGGGTTTGCACTAAAGTATTTATTAAGTCGCCTTTATCGTTAGGCATACCTTTAAGGAATTTTGGCTTTAAATAGTCTAACTCGTCGTTTAAATATTTTATTTTCTCGACGGAAACTCTTGAGCCACCTTTAAGTAGGTTAAAAGTGAACTCTTAAGGTACTTACACTCTTCTCAGTGTGAGAGGATACCGTGCGGAGGCAGGTTTATGGGATATTCATTTTGGAAGGACGCCAACGTATGTTTGCTACCGGTGTCATGCTACCGGCAGCCAAAAAAATATTATTCTTTTGACAAAACTTGGCCTGTGCCCCTTTAGCTACGTAGATCTCCTCAAAACTGAGATGCAAAAAAACCTCTGACTGATTGTATAGCGTGCCAGTTATACATCTATTCCACTGAAAACACAGTTTTTGCGAAAGTGTGGCTTCGGACATCCCTTTGTGAGATGGAGAACATAGGTCGTGCCTAGTTCAATAGCTTCACATACTATTCCTTTAGGCTATCTACAGTGCTGGCCAATTCGTCTGCCGTTTGATCCAAACTGCTCAAGAAAGGCACTGAGAAATTAGTAGTAAATTATCAATCGCCTTAATGATGTGCCTGTTCTGACTGGACCATTGTTTAACCAACATTAATGAAATATCATCACTAGCAACATAAAACCGTGAATCCGATCTTTTGGCAGAGACACGCAGGGTTGATATTGTCGACTTCGCTGGATCGTCGTGAATGACGGTTTGACTTGCGGACTTGGCCTTTGAAGAATGTCCTGAGTTTTCATCATGACAAGGGGCGTGCGGTATTTTCACTGATTCTTTATAGATCCTGCCCGCTCGGAAGCCAAGTTTCCTACACAATATCAAAACGCTTTAAGACGGTAGTAACGAACCAACCACATGGAACCCCTTAAACGGATCGAAGAAAGCGATTTCAACAAAGTTCCTTGTGTGGATTGCTGCTTTGCTGAGACAGTGGCAGAGCTACAGAATGGTTCTGCACACGTCTGCTAGAAAATGCTGACTTGTACAAATCCTATTTTCGTTATAAGGTGCACCAAGCATCCACAAGTCCATTTTGCCGGGAACGTAACAACAGATCTTTGGGCTAACATGAGGACGGCTTTTGCGCTACAATTATGAGCTGTTTAAGCATATTAGATGGAATTCACCAATACACATTGTAGCGTTCACGATGTGTCTGGACTGGTTTAAGATATCAACCTATGGCGCGCGGTAGCGTGTTATTTTATGCACTATATGTGGACAATTCGTTTACCAGTCTTCTCAAAAATGTCCTCAAGACTCACGCAATGAAGAGTAACAGCACATTAAATAATACATACGTTAAACAGGTAAATTATTAATTCTTCATGAAGTATCAAAATAAGAAAAATTAATCCGTAATACAGAGAGCTAATTGGTCAACTATTCTACATGAAAGAGCAATACACAACGATTCAATAATATTTTAGCGAAGTTCTCTACTTTAAAATTTTCGTAATAAGGAAGTGAAGCATTAATACTATATTAATATAATTATCACTATAAATACGTTCAAAAAGATACATTGAAATATTATAAAAATAGAAAATTGTTTACGCATAAAAATTTGATACAGAAACTTGTAGCAACACCATGTGGCTTAGATAACGACTTCTGACTTTTCAGCCTGAGCTGCTTGAGCTATATCAACTATTTTATTTTTTTTTTCATTTAAAGAATTATCTGCCTGCCTCGAAGAGTGCGAAGTCTTTTAGTTATTACTTATTGCACATTTTTGATAAGTATCAAATAGAATACAGACATTTCCGATGTGACACTTTAGTCTGAGATTATTACACAACTGTACATCAACCGAACAATTTCTTTTTACTTTAATTGTCTACTGAAAGAGCGCTAAGTTTTCTCTGGGTTCTACAAGTTCGCTCAAATTTCTTCACGTAATAGACGAATATCAGGTGGAAACTCCAATAACGTATACCTGACACAAAATTATTAGGTATTTTAAACTTCTGCTTTACTTACCTATTCGCTGAGGTTAAAGTTCTACCCATGCAATTGCATTTCTACTCAGTTTATAAATACTATTTTGTACCCAGAGTGTACACTCTGAGTATAGACGCCGTCCGAATAAAAAAAAAGTTTAAAAATTGGATAGCCCATAAATGGACCAAAAAAAAGGACGGTTTGTCATGTCCATCCTGGTGCCGAGCGCAAAGACAACGGCGTACTTGATAATAATAATAAATAAATCTCTACAATTTATTCTGTCAAATCTTATAGAAAAATATATAATAATGTGTAACAGAGCTTAGTAAAAAAAAAAACAGTATGAAACGTTTCTTGACGAGCGAAGAAAATGTCTGATGTCCTTATAACACGGGCTATCGCTAAATTCGTTCACAGCATGCACTGAAACATGTGGTTGTATAATGATCTACTTCGATTGAAAAAGTGAAAATACATCAATGTACTAGTGGTAACTAATGCATATTACCTGTCCCAGGGATGGCGAATGCTGCTGAATAGATTCACCAGCATGAAGGAGTTGATAAGTGGGGGACATAGTGATGTCCGCTAATTTTGAAGCCGGATTGCCCACGGAACGACTAAAATAGGGAGTGCCGAAATTAGAGTGCAGGTACAATGTGAAATACGACTAAACTGTACAAACAGAATAGACGCGACGAATAATAATAGGCTTTTACTGAGGGTATTGGTACAAATAAATCTAAACACCTCATGAAAAACATTATAAACTATGCATGCCTTGGTTTAAAATAGACCCTTTTGTTGCACCCATGTAAGCTGTTGAAGGAGCAGTACATCGTTTATTAAACGAAACAGTTCATAAAGGGGAATGAAACAGGACTGTTTAACAATACATGTTATCGTCCAACCAGCCTGTATACTTACTTTTAAGCTGCGGCACTGGATACGGATAAAAAGCATATGTTCATATATTTACCCTTTGACCCAATCGGACTAAAAGACTGAAAATGTACGGTTAAATATATTTATCGGTAAGCTGATTTTAAGGCTCGAATAATTGAACAAACACTGAGCTTTAAGCAAAACTGAGTTTGGAACCTGAGGTTGTGAATCCAAGCCCTGTCCTCTTTTCAGCTGCAGTTAGAAAGGTCCATTTATAATAGTTTGGCGTTTTACTCATTGTGTTTCCAATAAAATGTTTTCAGCTGCCGGATCTAGCTGCCTTTTTAATCTGGACTTCTCCTTGACTAGTCGGTCTTCTTCTTTGTTATTAGCGAAATCCTTGATTAAGTCTAGTGATATATTTCTATTTGCCCACTCACGGTGAATGCATGCCGGTATGGAGTGCAAAAGCGTCGGACGCATTCTGAGCAGAGTAGAGTCCCCCGGGGTTGTTGTAATTCTGATGGATAATTCTGCGGCCATCAGGTGTCTGATGAGGAAACGCACGTTGCTGAACCGTCTGTGCTACCTGGAATGCATAAATAGGGAATATATTTCAAATAGTCTTACAGAATGCTGCTAACGAAAAATTGATACTTTGGCTTTGCGATCGGCAGAGAGTTTCGAGCGGTTGCTCGTGCAGCGCTGATATAACTACCGACGCTCTATTTTTTTAGTTATTTTCCTTCCATCAAGCCAAATGTAGCGCGCTCCTTCTTAGGCTCCTGTCAATTGTCACGACGTAACTTTATTGGATTCTCAAATTCCGCTTTTTGTAATGCGCAACGATACTCCACTGTCTGGTAAAATTAGTGAAGCCTTGGGTATCGCTGCCGCTAAAACTCCCCTAGCGATCAACAAGTCCCCTTTATTTACAGCCGCTCCGGCTTCTCGTCGTACTTGCTGGAGTAAAGATGACAATCCACTCGCTTTTAGCTTCAAATAGCGGTTATCTCTCATTTTCTTTTCTTAAAAAAGTTCTGAGTAGTCTGCACTGGTATCCATGTAAGTAAATCCCTACATTTCGATCACCAAATTATCGTTTACCGTGCCGAACCGACAATTCAGCGGCTCGCTTTTCGTCCTAAAAATAGTGGCAGTACTAGCCTTTGGTTAAAGTGCCATATATAATGCATATGGGCTTTTTCCTCTACTTAATTCTGATGGAATGGTATTAACCCCAAGTAAATGTTCACCTCTGCCGGCTTGATGAAATGTACAAATAGAACTGACTTCCCAGACGTTAAGTAAACAAAGTTAGAGAACCAATCGCAACTCGCAAAAAAACAGGTCAGCTGTGTAGCTGGAGAAGAGCCGTTCCTGTAAATCTGCTCTCTTTAAGAAAAAGCTATTGAGAAGCTTCATTGTAAAAACTTCCCATCAATCGTCTCATACAACCTCCAAGTCGCATCATACACGAGCCACCCAGTTTAGGTACCAATATGGCTGGCGAGTTTATACCAATTCTCACTTTGCGAGATAAAACTTTTTAAGCAATATTTTTAGCCTTGATTCTCTGAAAGCCAACGTAAACGATTCCGCTGATTTCCCCAAGAATTTGGTTAGAACATCTCTCAGGTCATCGTCACCGGTCTTCCTGCCGTCCCAGCGCGGTCATAAAGTTGGATAGGACCCGTTAGGTGCTTTGATGTTGACCGATGGAATCGCTGCTCTTCAGCCATACCCCTTATATTTATATCGTCACGGAGATATTAGTAATGGTAATAGTAATATTAATAGAATATTAATATCATAATAGTATGTAGGTATCACTAAGTTTAGTTTGAGAAAGGTTTTGCTTTATTGTAAAAATTAAGTTACCCGTATGCTTCATGCTAAAGACAGTTTCAAAAAATCGAGCAGAAAAAAGTCTTTGGGTGTTGTCTTTTTCAGAGAGCACTTCCCTGACGTTTGTGATATAAAAAGTGTATTCAATTATTAAAGAAAATTACAGTCACCGGTCCAGAATCCACATCTTCTTTATAACGCGCTTCTGAGTGAGCCCTAGCAGTGTTATTATTTTATTATCAATTGTATACATATTTTTTGGCGGCATTTAGTTATCTGAAGCGTCTTCTTATTGTAAGAATTTCATTTTAAAAACTTTATCAATTTAAAGGGTAAGGCAGCTTTGTTCGTAGAACTCTGAAAACCTTTCTGCTGTATTCTAGTTCCCGTTGTTTAATATCGACCACGTTCTTGTGATGGAGGTTTTACTGAATACAAAATCGACATCTCTCGTTGAGACAGTTGAATAGCTACCAAATTATTCAGTGGGACATTCAGGAGCCTTTTAGAAAGTTTTAATTTGTAATAATTTGATAATAATATAAAGTAATAATTTGGGAAGTACTTAATATTTAAGTATTTGCTGTTGTCTCTTCGCAACGCTCAGTAGATGCAAGCGTGGAAAACGGCGTTAGAAGACTCCGATTGTACTGAGATATATCCCTGTGATTTTCAAGTTATTTACAATCAAAGAATCTAAATATAATTATTTAGATACGAAAACTATTGAAAAAATAGCCTGTCCAAGAACAACTGTATAAATCGAAACCAGAAGGTTTCTAATATCAGGATATGGTGCTGACGTTTTCTGAAAACGAAAACTGGACATTTAAACGACAATTTATATCGTATGCTCAAAAGTTAAGATATACCTTTTAAGAACATATTTGAGGAAACCAATATCTATTACGTACTTCTATAAAAACTTTTAAACCACCTTTTCCTTTGGCCTTCTTACCCAACACGTAGATTTCTGGGTTCGTCACAGGTGGGTAAATAACAGCATAACAGCTTCTTATTTAATTTCTCCTATAGTACCAATTAGAAAAACTATGAGATATCATATAACTTGATATAGATATTATATAACTTGACATATACATCCTGTTTCTTTGTAAGTCGAGAGCAGTTAGAATTTTGTGACACCCTTCTAAGCTTGGCATAAACTGAAAGAAACCCCAATAAAGCCTTATGCTAAATTTCGGGGAATAGTCCTGGCCTGTATATATTACGAAAACCAGGTGTAACGTACTATCAAAGTGTTAATAAAGCCTGAGAGAAAACTGATGCTGTTAAACAGAGACATTGTTTCATCGAATTACGCCTATCTAAATCCATTGCCTAAGGGCAAACAACTCGAAACAAGAGCCAGAATCGCCTCATCCCATTTGAGAACGAATCGACGTGTTGCTTAAAATGCCGTGCGAAAACTATGTGAATAAATCATAGCGTAGGCCGAAAAACAAAATGATCGTTTAAAATATATTCATGTTTGCTGCTTCAAAAATGCTTTTCAGAAAAGAAAGTTGGTTCTATTGTGGCAACCAAAAGGGCCGTGGTGATTTTAAATGCAAATATTTTAGATAATGTTATGGAAAACGTTACGGCGACTAATATAAGATTGAAAACATACTATAGAGAAAAACTAGAAGTGTTAGCATAATTTATAATACTGGGAAAAGTTTATATGCTGTGGTGTTGGTGTAGTCAACTACGGGAGATTAATTTAAGATGGAAGACACCTTCGGGGTTAGTTTTCTTTATATTACACTATGTCAGTATATTCTGCACAACGGTCTTGTGCAGTTAATGCCATAAAAGGGTCAATATTGATTATGGTGTTGACCTTATAACTTAGGGAATACAGTATGATATTATACAGTATATGTACGATAGCAGTAAATTAAATTCATTTCATAAGACAGCGTATGGCTCGTCTAACATGGACGAGACTCTGGCGAGCTTTTTGTCATAGTAGACATGCGCTTATCTGCTTTTTTTTTTTATACTAAAAGAGACAGTCCTTTCAAGAAAAAAAACAACAAACATATCATGGCGGAAAATAATACATTGTTTTTCAACATGATCTGGTTATCTCTGGATGAACCGCTATGACGAGTCGCAACCCCTATACGACAACCTTGCAGTCTGAGTAAAGATCACCTATTACCCAATCTTTTCACGCTAAATGAAGTGTCAACAAACTAATAAACTTCTAAAGCGACAGTATACAGAGTGGCCGATGAGTATGTTTCTGCAGAAGCTGAAGCAAGTTTCATTACAACACAACAAAAAGTCTGCGATAGGGAAACAACGGTTCTCTCTCTAGAATTAATTGATTCCGTTGAAAAGCGCATTTTGTAACAATCGTGTTTTGTCGGAGAGGTTTGTAGCGATGTGCTATCGCATTATAGATTATTCGTAGACGCTTGAAATTTACTTCATGTGATCAAAGACTTGGACGAATACTGCCTGAGAACCAAGCGATTTAATCTATATCGTTTACGTTTTGTTAGGAGTGAAGCAGCAAATGGCTGTGATGAAGAAATGTTTATCAATGATGCAAAAAATAAACCGCAAAGATCAAAACTAGGGGATGCGTCTGTTATGGGCAAATTTTTAACCGTTACAAAGGACGTCATGCCATTTTCAGAAAAATTAATTAATTAATAGAATATTGATCTGCATGTTCTACAAACTGTACTGCGACCTAGAATATGTAAAATATCCAAAAAAAGCTCCAGATGAAAAGAAAAAGATGGTGCACCAGCTCTGGCCTATTACAGCACTGCCAGCTTGAGAATATGAATATGTCCTGGAAGTTGTACGTATAGCCTCCAGAGAGGACAGATTTGATTTTTATATTACTACATATGAAGCGTTTTTGAACAAAAGTTCAGCAAGTATTAACATAATAGCATCGATTAGCTGATTCGAACTAACAAAAAGGAGCTTGCATATTAGCGAAGGGAACATTTGAAAAAGGTTTAAATCGTAATTAATGATGGTTATATTGGAGAAACATGGCCGCCGCCATGAATGCCGGCAGAAATGGCACAGAGTTTTAGAAACAACTCATAAGCCATCTTGTATATAGTTAGAATTTCGAAATTCTGCCCCGTACTGACCCGTATTTAAGCGATACAAGGATTAATAGAAGTTATTAACTTTGTCCATATGAAACCTGTATTGGGCATAACTAGTTTCGATATAAGGTGTGTATTTAAGTTTGAAGCTCTCCTTATTGAATTGCCACCTAATTACAGAATGAAATAAAATTAGAATCTGGCGAGTTGAAACGTAGAGGTTAGCGTTCCATCTTTTTAAACGCGGTTTCCGAAACCGACACTATTCATTATTGTTGCTATGAATAAATCTGTAGGGCAGTGCTATAGCAGAGCCAAAGACACGTTTAGATCCGGTGGTATATTGTATAAGCACCTGCATTACACTCAAGATTCGATCAAAGACTCGTTTTCGTGACTAGGTATAGATTTTTTTTTGTGGACGATATTACTGTTTACTGTAAACTTGCAAAGCTATCATTGCGATGATTGCATCAGTGAGTCACGCGTTGAGAAATATGGGCTACGAACAGAAGAGGGCTAGTTAGTTCAGTAAAGATTGTTTTGCATTATAGATTATTATTGTTCTGACTATCAAAGGTTGAATTAGTGCAAAAGCGTATTGAGAGTTGCAACCCTATTGGTCAGTAAAGGGGTTCCAAAATATGCTGTAAGTGAGGATTATACGCAGCTTCGAAGTGTACATGTGCGCGTGTTTGCCTTCTACACATAATAAACGCCTGGTGGCTTAGGTTGTTCCATGCTAGCTGCTTTATGGAATGCCAAACAGTTAAAGTGTCATACGTAAAGCTCGATAGCACAATGTGAATTTCTGGGTCTAGCGTTTTTCTATAACGAAAATTCTATTACAAAACAAAGAAACGGACATAAACTATTCTGAGCAAGGTATTGCACTTGCAAATTTGTCTAAACTTTTAGCTGCAAGTTCAAAGGAAAGTTAGGCATGGATATATATATGTATATACGTTTTTGTGCTTCTAGTAAAGGGTACTTTCTATATGTTTATGAGGTTGCATACATTATTGATGCGCCTAAAAATCCAATTGGCATGCGTTGAAATTTTCCAGATTTTTACCTACCCGGGTATGCATATCTGGTCCATAGGGCACTTGCACGGTGCTAAAATACGGTTCGCGGACGTGGCGTAAGTATGAACCGAGTACACAATCGTGAGTCGCTTTTGGGCCTGGGTATATTAGCTGCGCACTTCGATACACCTGCGTGTTTTAAAGCAGAGTTATTTCCGATTATCATTAATTGAAGTTAGAAATACCAATAGCTAATGCACAGCTTCTATGTGAAGGAAGAAAAAACATTCCCTGTTAACGTTCAGTTGCTATTTTTATCAGTCCAATGTTGTAGATTTCACTGGAATCATCAGCGGCATTTATCGCATAAGCTGATGTGGCAAATTTTGATATGTGATCTTTGCACAGGCAGGAGTAGAAGAAATAGGCTTATAGTGGTAGGTTAACAGCCGTTGATATTAAATAATATACATATATGGTTATCATTATAATAGACTAATTATTTTGTAACGATGGGATAGCAACACTGATTATTGACAGTCATGTTTACGCAATAATGTTATTATTCACCCTTTGGCATAGTTTGTCTATCTATAGGTGCATTTGTATATATATTATAGTATATATATATACTGTATATAATATCCTCACATATAAAAATTCGATTCAAGTTCCTAGCTATTATACCTCAGCTTTTAGGCCTTTCCTCGATGCTGTACGGCTATTTTCAGCATGAAACATAGTCTATTTATCGCTTATAGCATGGAATGTTTGGCTTCCTACGGGTGTCATAAAGATTGCACGTACATTTTTATATGGTCATATTATTTTCTGAAGCTAGCTAGTCGAATTCAAAAGAATGAGTTTCATAGATATTGTTGATTTTATTTTCGAATTGATTGTTATGAGAAAATGCCTATGTTGTATATAGAGTGCTGATTTATTACCACATTATAGGATATTATTATTGTTACTGAATTATGCGCCTCCGTTTCCCGCGTCCGGCGAAACCTTATGGTATTTATTTAGCCTATACTATTGCCAAACACTACAACAAAGCGAAGTTCGACGTAACTGTAACAGGCAGAAAACAGTCACACTTTTAATTTCGAAATAAGCAAAGTAACAATTGCAGTTGCGCCACTACACTTCGTCATATGACTAGAATTGTGTTTTATGTAATGAAACCTACGGGTACAGAACAATCAAAGAGGGTGCATCAAGGCAACAATACCGCGAGAGACATAATGAACAAAAAACTGCAATCTCAATAGCATAAGAGAGTTATTTATGAGAGATAAGCATAGCAACGACAAATCCACATTCCGTTTTTTATCGATTCATCTGGCTTAAGGCTGCTTATAATTAGTACTTATTATATATTATTTATATAAGAAATCGACGAAATAGCTAAGCGTATTACTAATGTGTCGAAATAGTTGGTGAATTTTAAATTGACAAACAACAATAGAGCTAATTTATAACGGTGCAACGTATCTTGATGCTTCCTTTTGTATTCGAGAAATCTTAGAATGCTTACTTGGATATCATCACTTGAGTTATCGAGTTATGGTGCATTAACTTGCAATAACTGCTAGAAATGCAATAAATCGTTGGTAAAAAAAAAATTTAAGAAATCAGTCTCGTGGAAGACAATTGAGAAAGTGAATAACGAAGGTTATGAGATATGGAAGGGGCCAACTCAACTCAACGTTTGCTCAAAGGGCGCCGTCCGTTTCGAAGCATTAATAAGGAAACGAAACTAGTCAAATGAGTGCCGCATTACTTGAATGATCAAAAACAGGGGTGTAGAGCTCTTTATTTTTACGTGACCTATTCTCACACTGAACACAAATAAAAAAATTGTAATAAAACTGAATTCCTTGCAACAATCGCAGACGTTCGCATCAATATGCAACAACCTTAAAGCAAATATACAGTAGCTTATGGTGTCGACTTGGCGGTTGAATGAAGGCGTTATCCGGCATTTATATTATATTATGTTTTACAGTACTGAGCTCTAATCGGCTAATTACGTCCTTAGTATATTGTCAACAATGGGAAAGGACAAGCAAACTTTATATTAAGCATCCAAGATTAGGAAGCTACTCTTGTTGCACGACGACAATTATCTCCGTGATAGTGCACTTAGTAACATGTTTGCACGCTACATGTAGGGACAGGCATTGGTCTAGGTTTGGATCCGGCCGTGGATCCAGTTTGTTTTTTGCAGGGAGTCGGCCATTTATATAAAAAACATTGCACGACAACACTCAGTCTCATACAGCAAGACTTACTGCGGCGAGAACGCAGGAGTTACAGTTGAGTGCTTTGGCCAGGTATTGTTCCACATACCAATTTTGTCAAAAACCAATTTTTTAAATCTTAACACGATGTCGAAATTACGTTTTAAAAATCTCAAGGACGCCATCACTCCTCAGCTACAGCAATTGCATGAATCAATTACCATCCAAATAGCAGAAACTGATGGATAAAGATGATGGATACTTCGATCGAAAATTAAAAAAGGTGAGTATATGTGTTCGGTGTGTTGCGTTTCATACTGAAAGACTTAATCAATATTTAAACACGAAAAAGAGATGCAAAGGATTATTATAAAAATGTATTTATTATTTCATAGTGACAACGTCATTGAAACATTCTTAAACTGTGTGTAAACGGTATAACTCCGCGCCCGTTTTTGCCTATTGATATTTTTATTTCGTCGAACACTGATATAAACTATATTTTTATTTATAACCTAAGTCCGCTACTATGCAAGAATTCACGTACCGCTAACACATGAGTAATATAATCTGACAACATAATAACTTCGTTGTCAGTTGCTTCGTGTTCCCTTTGACACCTCCAGGCTTGAGGATATACCGACCAAGTGTCGCATATAATCTACTAAAGGATGATCGGTATCGTCCTTTGGAGCGTCGTAAAGCTGTCCCCAACCAACAAAAGTAGAGTGTGAGAAAGTTGTTTGGGCAAGTGAAGCCTTCTGGAATAATAAATCACCCCAATTATGTTTTACCATTAACAGAGAACCCTGTTTGGGAAATTATAATTAGTTAAGCCGATGTTCTTAGATACGAATATTGCCTATGAGACCAGTTGTGCGCTTCCAACGGTTCGGCCTCTCTTAAATATGCACCTGTCTAAGATTTCGTTCGCAGCACCACGAGACATGACTTCGAAGCCACATAAGAAGTATTAGGTGCAAATATATCCCTTGAAATGTCATGGCTGCGCATAATACAACTTTTTACTTAAACCCAGTAGAAGCGGCACTTGTTGGTTGAATTGTATCCACCGGTATGCTCCGTACTTCCCGCATACAGCCCAACAAGTGCATAAGTCGTGAGAACCTGACTGCTGGAAAACTTCACGAAGAAGTTTCTTTCTAGTCACAGAGAGATTTTTTGACAGTAAAAGATATGGATAAGGAAAACTACGACTGCGCAACTCCGAATAGGAGTGATGAAAACGTGGGGGGGGGGGGTGACAACGTCCTTTTGGAGGAGATTAACAAACTTATCGGAAATTAGAGCGCTTCGCATAGACAACGAACAAAACCATTGGAGGGCTTGTTCGCAGAAAAGTCTACGTTGACATAGAAATTTTGGCTTCAAAAAGGCACTCCAACAACGACACTGAAGCAGAGAGTATCTAAGGGTAAATAAAAACAAAAAAATGTTATTCCATAAACAAGCTATTACCGTATCTTTTTTGACTGCGGAATGGCCCTTAGTCATTTTTAACATAACGTGGCCGGATAACGACATACAGACAGAGAGCATCTTTTTCATTACTATAGAGAGAAATATTTGGGGGACAATAAGATATGGACGACCACCACGGCCTGCCAAATTGATAACTTAAAAGATGACCTGTCTAGTTCAGTCAAAAAACGAACCACGAGGTCCATTGGAGGAAAAGAGGACGATGACGGGGTTATTTCATGTAGAACTTTGGTTACATTAAGGCTTCTTGAAATTACGCGTACCGGTATAGATAGCGTACTCATGTTTTAACCTTTGAGTCAGTTGTGAAATGGCTAGATGTAAATCCGAGTGAATATAATACCACGGTCGCAGGAAGAAAATCGCTAAAGAATATTGACATGAAAAACATCATTAAAAGAAGCAAAAGAAGGCGCCTACTTGGACATCATAAAAGTTTTGGAAAGCCAAAGCGGAATCTACGTGTTCTGGGATGTTCCTAAATATTCTCTATCCACAAAAAGGAACTTATTACGAATTTCAAAGTAGAACCTAAAATAGAGAAGTTACTGTCTATGGACTTTGTGGCTTATGTCAAAGATCTTTTAAATGAGCTATGGTAATACCCTTACGTATTGGACACCATTTGAACGAGTGTATGTTTAAGGCAAATATGTCCTAAATAAATTAGTCAAAGACGCGAACCAACCGAGAAGGCCTACTATCAATGGATTGGATAATTTTCTAACACTAAACAACAGATAATTCCAACTTTTCTTGACGACGTTCCAACGTACCACGAGGACCTATCCATTTATAAATCTAATTATAAAGATGTTTTGATGAACAGTCTTAGATGGAAAAAAAAGCATTAAGTGACCCCTATTGCACTGAAAGCTTCAACGCAGTGACTCGCGAGATTACTTTTTCTCACAGGTAAGTAATCGCTATAGGTAAGAAGGCAACAATAGAGCATACTAAGCGATGAGTAAAAAAAGATAATCCCGAGAGGTTTTGCAGGTTACTTAATTGCCCATTAGTAGTACATTTTGGTGGATGACGGTTGCTCCGATTTACTTAAAAATACTGATAGAATGATCATATGACATTGTTTGGCGTACATGTAACAGACTGAAAAGAAAGCATAAATGCAACCGAGTTAGAAGAAACAAGGTGGTGGAACATAACAGAGCAAAGACTGCTTTTAAAAAGGACATAGAACACAGTGAAAGCAAAGCGCGGAACGTCTTTCTATAAGATTTACAAGAGGGTCTAAAAGAACGCCCATTCGAGGCAAAGTAAAAAAGAGGAATACAATAAATCTGTTTAAGAGAAATAAGAAGGTCATAAGGGTTTTTTTCATAGTCCACTACGGTTTCGGCCGCTCGGAGTTTCCTTTTTTAGTACAGAGAAGCAATTCTATGCAGTCATTATCAAGAAGGTTCTTACACTAGAAGAACT